TCTGTAAGCATATGTTCTCATTACCTTTGTATTTTAGTCCTACAAATGCACTGGGACACTTCAGTACTGGTGAACTGTGACGTTTCTGGAGTGTGTGGGAATACTGAATAATTCCTTGCACCTGATTTTATCGTTACATACTTCCTCTATACGTGCACATAGTTTTACAGTTCTGGGCCTCAGTAAAAAGGGAATTTCTGTGTTTCTGGTTATCACAGCTCTCTCTCATAGTGTAGTTGCTCTGAGAAAGAGAAGTAAACGCTTGTGCCTATGGATCCAAACCTGCAGCTTCTCTGATAGTTTTGCCATTATTGTTAGTGGAATGAGTAAGTCTGTACTCATAGAAAAGCTTGAATTTGCTCTTTACTGAAATTTAGGTTTTGAGGACCCTTTGCCCTTTCCATTGTAAGCTCAAATGTTGAAGTTTTCTTGTTTTTCCAAATTTTGTCTTTATTGTGCTTATGTTTGGTTTTTGGTAAGTTTGGCAAGATTTGAAGGAAAAGGAAGGTATGAATATAAAAAATGAAAAATAAATCAAAGAACAAGGGTTAGGTATTCATACATCCTGAATAATATGTTGTATTAAAATATGATAGTAGTTTTAGTGTCCTGCTTGCTAATTACAGCCTTTGTGATCAGAAGTAATACCTGAAGTTATAAAATGAGAGGCAGGACGAAAAGACCTGCCAGGTTTCTGCTGCTAAAATGCCTGGAGAGGAAATGTTTTGTTTTGGTAATGGCTAACCACACACCTACATTTGGTGATTAGACGGGGGGGGAAGGAGGAGACAGAGCTTTTTCTTATTAGGTAATTCTTGAAACAAACTTATCACCTGAAGAGTGGGAAATAACTGTAAAAATCCACGACCTTTTTCTGTCTAGTTAGCAGCATCTACTTCACGTTTTGTCAGCTTGGAGCTATTGTATGCTCCTTTAGTCCAAAGATGCAGCCACGCACCGTGTTACGTAGCTTTGACATCCAGGCAAATTACTTAGAAAAGCAGCTTTTGGCAGCCAGCGCGCGCACGTTGGTACGAGCCTTTGATTCAGACAGAGCAGTCAGCTTTGAGGCTCTCGCTGCGCGAGCGCAGTGTGCATCATGGGTAAATACAGTGTTAGCTGCGCTGCGGGGATGACCCTTATCTCACTGCCCTGCTGATGAAGCCAGCAGATCCGACTCGCATGCACATATGTCACTTCAGCTGATATGTTTTAATTTAAAAGCGTTTGCAGAGCGTGTGGCTTAGCTCTTGCAGGAAGCCTAGAGACATATGTACACAGAAGGAAAGAAAAGGCCTGACTCCATCTCTGCTTGGTATTTAGTACTGCTTTACACTCATTAGAAAAAGTAAAATTAATCTGATTGTCACCAATAGTTTTACATATCCATTGAGGTATGTTAAAAATTCTGTGCTCGCTCTGTTGCTATGTTTCTGTAAGCCTTTCTTCTTCCCTATTGTTCCTTGATACAGTGGTGTTCTGGGGTTTTCTAACAGTATTGCAAGTTGAGGTTTAGGCAGGAAGAAACTTGCAGTGTCAGTTTCTGATAAAATACTGATTCAGTCAGTGCTAGCCACTCTCTCAAAAAATAGTAATTTAGATGTACAAAGAAACAAAGGTTTTCCATGGCCCTCTCTTAGAGTTTTGGTCATGCAAATTCATCTTAATAGTACTAATTATTTTTAAATATTTAATTTCCATTTTCACTCTTTAGCTGCTCAGTTCTCTGCTTCTTTTAAAAGTACAACCAACCAACCTTTCTCTTTTTCTGTCTTGGCAGATAATGAATGTCTATTTTCTGCTGAAAATGGAGAGTGATAAAACAATTGGAGTTCTAAAAATGAAAGGTTAATTTCAATTATTTTGCATTCTCATATTATGCAGTTGGAATACTCAACATATTGCTGGTCTCCCTGGTAATACACTATTGCACATTGCAGGGATGAACCAAATTCACCCATTAGATTTTTTTAAGCAGTGAAATGATCAGTACTTGTGCTGGGCATGTGTAGTAGGTGGCAGATGCCTCAAATCAAAGACCTTTCTAATTCCAGTTGGGACTGGGTAAAATGTTATTTTGTCCATTTTTGCAATGTACTTAATGCACTTAATTTCTCACCTGTCTGAGAAAGAGCATGCGGGTGGCTTCTGGAAGGGAAGTAGCACCAGAGAGGTGTGTAACTGCTGCCTTAGTCATACGGGGACTTAGGCTATTTCTTGTTGCAAGCCTGGAGCTTAATCCCTGCTGGTTTTGTGTGTTGGCATTCTTAGTAAGTGGATGGTTAAAACTCACCCTTGTAACCCTGCAGTGACTGGTGCGTGTCCTGAGCCTGTTGTGAAGCAAAGGTACCGTTTTTAGCATACAGTCTTGCAAACTAGAGGCAGGCAGGATGATTCTCAGTTCTGCACTCGTGTTCCACGATGCTGTGTGTGCACTTCCTCAACGGTGGAGCAGGACATCTTGCTGTCCTTGTAGCTTCACACACGTCATATTTGTTGAAATATTTTTCTTTTCCAAACGTATGTAAAGTAGTAAGAAATAGAAAGCAAGATGCTTTTCTTTGACAGTGGAGTTTTCGTTTTTATGAAATAACTCATATGAAGCTTCGACTGCTCTTAACAGACAAGGAAGAGCTGAGTGGGAGAAAGCCTTCAATGTGTGGTACTGACTGCGCGCTTGTTTGCTTTAAAGGGCTGTCACACTGTTGTGCCAGAGGCTGCCTGTTGTAAAAGATAATTACTTCCCTGCTTCAAAGGTCAGATGTGATGGCAGGGAATAGGACTATGAGCAAAATGAGATCAAGCATTACAGTCAGTCAAGGATCATACTTATGTCTGGAAAAAGTAGGAAAGACAAACTAAAAATAAAGAAGAAATCCCTAATTTTAATCAGAGTCTTTGGCCTACCCCTATACAATCTTTTTCAGATTGAGGCAGTACCCTTTTTGTTGATGAAAAAATTAAGCAATCCTTTGAAAGTATTATTATTAAAATGTCAACATGAAATTATAATCAGTGTGGAAAAATTATTAAATAGCTCACAGTTTAAGGCTGAGGAAGGCAAAAAATGTCACAGAACCTAAGAAGGGGGAAGTAGTGATAATTCCTGACTTCCTGTTGAAAATCAATTTACCATACTTGGATGAACAGTACTTACGAATAAGCTTGTAAGTAGGAACCTGTGATGTACAAAATAGTGTGGCCTCACAGGTAGCAGAACAGAGAAACATATTTTAGTGTTCAATGGGAGAATGTGAAGCAGTTGGGTACGGTAGAAATTTTTTTAATGGATAATTTGAGAGAATGATTTGTTTGTTTTTAATGGGTGGTTACACAGTTTCAATGTCACTAGCAAAACTCTGGATAACTTACCTTTTTAAGTTGAAAGCCAGCTGTATCACAAAGGGAAAGGGATTAGCTTCCTGTCAGCTTCCTTTTTGGAAAAAGTGATGTGTGCACACTGAAAATATTTCCAGCTTGGATAAAGTATGTTTGAAAATACCTTTCGAGTAGAGTCATATTTTGATGGGCAAAGAAAGAGGATTTGCTTTCAGTTTTACATGTTTAGAGAAACATTTTGAGAAATCCAAGGGACCTTTTTCCCCTTTACTTAAAAAGTACATAGTGTTCAAGCTAGGGAAGTTTTGCCGACGTTAACCTTGATCTCTTCTGGCACTGCGGTCCGGTAGAGAATGCTCTGTCAGAAATCACTTTGTACTTTGAACTGTTGAAGGGACTGCGTATGTGCAGCAAGGGGCACAGTGTTTCATTCCTGAGAACCAACAGGAGGGCTTTCTTTTTTATGTTCACATACATGTGAATGAAAGCAAAAAGAGAAATACAGGGCCCGATGGGAACATGGAATTTTACTCCTTCAGAGTTTGGATGTACCTGTTCCTAAAACAGAAGGTAGGGGAAGTGCTTCAAATGCTCATATTCATGCATGTGTGGAGTGTTTACCTAGTCCTTTGAGTGATTTAAAAAAAAAAAAAAAAAAGTTAAATTTTGGGTTTTTTTTGCCAATGCTCTGTGTACACAGGATGAGTCATATAGAAAATATTTATGTAAAATATATGAAAGAGATGGAAGAGTGGAAGTGCGTACCCTATTGCAATATGAGAATGCCCTACTGTAAATATAAACCAAATACAGCTTAATATTCAACATCAGTACTTCAGGATAAGGACTGACTAGGACTCAATTTTAAAATGTTTCCTATTGTGTACAACTCTCTTCATAAAAAGGGTTTTTTCCTATCCTTTATTCCTCAGCAACAAGCTTTCATGTGATAACAGTGTGTTTTATTTGCCAGATAGCTTCTGTTGTGTTTTCCCTGCCTGAAACTGTTCTGCCTTCATTAGCTAGAATCGCCATCCCTTGGGATGCTTTACTACAAGCATGCCAAATTAACCCATGGGAGCAGTCTGTCGCTAACAGAGAAATGAATGAGATTGCTCCTGTAGGTATGGTTTCCCAACTTCAGTTTCTAGAAACAAAGTAGCTCACAAGATCCATTAAATCCCAAATCTCCGTTGAGTGACATGAAAGTAATCCTTTTGTATCAAGCCAGTACACAAGTACTGCTTTTACTTGTGGAAGCAAGGGAAGACACAAGTACGCATCTATCACTTTGGGAAGGAGCAGTCTTGTAAGAAATTAAAAGTTTTCATGTATTTTACACAGTAGTTGCTGAGTGACTTTGTCATGATGTTATTAGTAATTACTGTATAAACAGTGCTTGAAATCTCTATTCTCCTGCGTGACTCATGCTCTAAAGATGACCTCTGCGACAGAAACAGTCTCGCTTAGATTACAGTGAAAACTATGGTGTTTGACATGGAAGCCACATTACCCTGTACTAACTGCATCTGAATTTGAATCAGTTGTGCTGGATGTCTAAATAAAATTGTTCTAAGCAAAACTATGCTATTTGTTGCTGAGAATTTTGGTATAAAGTACTCACCTGAGGATTTTCCTGTCTTTTCGTTCTGACTAGTGTTGAGGGTGAAGCTCCAAGCAGTGAAACCGGCACATCTTTGGATAGCCCATCTGCTTACCATCAAGGACCTATAACACACAGTTCAGCTATAAGTCCAGATCATTACGATCATTCTGCTTACGGGCTGTATTCCGTCTCCCCTGGGCAACAAAGATCTCGGAGGCCGAAACTTCAGCACTCAACATCCATTCTGCGAAAACAAGCAGAGGAAGAAGCTATTAAAAGGTCAAGATCACTTTCTGAGAGCTATGAACTCTCTTCAGACCTACAAGATAAGCAGGTATTTGGGCTTTGTTACCTAATTTTTGTCAACAGCAACATGCCTGTAAGATGGGAAAAGTCTTTTCTAGCATCACGTCAGTTGTGCTGTTGAAAACACCATTTTTATATGTTAACGTGGTGAAAGTGGAAGCAGGCAAAATTCCGCAGACAGGAAGCAAACTACTGATTTTGGAGCACACACTGATGATCGGTGAAATTTATAGAGGCCAAGTCTCATTTGCCATCTGTTTGTTGTTTTGAAATTTCAGGTAGGAGAATCATAGAATGTCGTTCTAAAGAGACCTGGAAGAACAGAGCTTGAGCTCTGACTTAAAAGTTGAAGCCCATGTTTGGGATAGCAAATAGGAATCTGGTTTAGCCTTTATGCTCACCATATTCTATGCTGGAGTGGGAAAATTACAAGTTCCTGATTCTTGATCTGGCTTATGCCAGCTCTGCTGTCAAATGGACCTCCATGTGAGATCTAAAACTTTACTTCCTTCTCCATATTTGGCAATCATTTTTGCTAGATATCTTATAAGGGATTGATATAGAATGTTAGACTTACTGAAGAGGTCTCCTGCACTGCAGATCTTCCACAGAGCCTAATTTCGTCTGTCCTTGGCTGGATAGAGAATGAGGACTGCAGATGTTACTTTGTATTTATTCAGAGAGTCCTACACAATCAAAATTGCCAATGATACATAAAGGAAGCTTGATACTGAAGTGTTGCTTACTGCTCATGAAAAACTCGCATTGAAAACTCAGAAGATGCTAAAAAACTATTTAGGAAAACGTCCAAGGCTTTACCTAAAGGCAATGTGCATTAAATATACATTAAAAAGGTGCATTTAATATGCATTAAAATTTATTAGACATAGTAGTCACAAGTCTAGTAAATCACCTAGGCAAATTCCAAACCACTCTCAATTAAAATACCCACCAAAACTCCCTAATTTATAATAATCAATGCTGTTATTTTCTGTGTAAACCTGAAGCACAACATCCTGTTTGCAAGAATGAAGTCCAGGTCATTTATTTTATAGAATATTAGTTTTTGGTTTATTCTTTCACACCAGCTATGCTAGTTTTCTTTAGGTTTGGCATTTAATTTTGAGAGGAGAACTAAATCGACAATTTGTATTTGTTTTGAGATTAGCACAGCAAAATAATATCTTACAGGTTATTTAAACACATGGGACCTAACATATAGTATGGATAGAAACAGTAGCAGATGTGTGACAGCAGTGGCAGGGTTGTGATGGAAGTTCTGTATAATTTCTTTAATCTTCAGAAGGCCTTACAAGTAACCTCATACTCCCTTTGCCTGTGCAAAGGGGGGGTGGGGGGTAGTATAACCCCCTTTTGGGCGTGAAAGGCTAAACAGTTGTTTTAGAGACACACTATAGAAAACGATGCAGAGCTTTACAGATTCCCAGCTCAGAGATCAGTCACAGCGCTTTGAGCTTAGTTAAAAGAAGTTTCAAGATACAGTCAAAAGAACAATTCCTTAGCAGTAGTCTGAGCCCGTCTGAGAAGTTGACCTCCTCAGTTACGCCAGTAGCTGTGTAATATTTTTTGTGTCTAGAATTAAAAAACAAAACAAAACAAAAACAAAACCAAAAACAATTAGTGATTCACATTTAAAAATACTGAGCCAAAAAGCAGATAATCTTTAATGGGGAAGGGGAATGGGAGCTGCGGAACCTGCCAATAGCACTAAAAGAAATACGTCAACTACTCCCAAATGGTAGACATCATGGACTAGAAAATACCTTTTTAGTAGCATTTAGTTCCTTCCATAGAAGGAGGATGAATCCCTCTGGACATCAGTGTCTGATTGTAACAATTACTGTAAAGATCTGTGAAGTAAGAGGGGGAAGGGTGCATGGAACGTTATTAAAACACGGTGTCTGATGAAAAAGGGAACCTGGCTTTGCAAGCAAGAAATGGTTTTTGAATCACTGGAGTATTATGGAAATTGCATGGACTTAACACAAAAATGTTGCCAGAAAAATGGTAGTTTTAAACATAGTACTCAAAGTATTGATTTTTTATGGATGTTCTGTGTTTGTGAATAATATGGATACAGCAAATACTGATCAGAACAGAAATTCAATATTGGGAAAAAATTTGAAATAAAACTAGTTATGTATCTTGTTCGGTGTTTTTTAAGTAAGCAATGCTTTTCATGTTTTGGGAGGAAAGGTTTGAAAATACCTAATGAGGATTCCAAAAGCACTGACATGTAATTTTCACTGGGTTAAATTGGTAGCATTTATAATGCATTTATTATGCATATTTATTATGTTAATTGGAAACGCTGGCAATGTTGAGTGTAATTACAAGAATGAAAATAGATCTGCATTTGTATTTAGGAAGTATGAAATACGTTCTTGGTTTGAAGATGACTGTGTATGCGGATATTCTGTCAGAGAAGCCTCTCTGGAAGCATATGGACTAGGAGGTTCAGTTTTCTGTGAATATCAGGCCTGGGTGAAACAATGCTGCCTGGTTTTTATTCATGCAGAAAGTGATATATGCTTGGAAAGGTGATGGCTACTGTTAAAATTTGTTCCCAAAATATGGCAATTTGCACTATATTTGGATTTCACTTCTCTACAGTTGACCCTGCAGAGAAAGAATGGCTGCATTCGAGTGCTATCTTGTCTGCTTAGACATGGGCACACCAATGCTAATGTGTGAAAACCAAAATTAAAACACACGCACAAATTGCCAACAACCTTAATTTTATGTAACAGTACTCACACAGACATTTTTTTGTCTGTTTTTTTTATCGTGGAGTTTGCAAATGACTATTTGGTTCACTACTTGTGCCGTTCTTAGTCTGGAGCTTTGAGCTTTTTCTTCCAAAACTAGTATACGCTTTGAAAAATTTCTGAAAATTGAAGTTGTTAAAAGAAATATACTTTAGCCTTGTTCTAACCTGCATCAAGTTATCACTTAATTGTGTTCACCCTTTCACAGGTGGAAATGCTAGAACGGAAATATGGAGGCCGTCTCATAACTAGACATGCTGCTCGTACTATACAAACAGCTTTTCGCCAGTATCAGATGAACAAAAATTTTGAGCGTCTTAGAAGTTCTATGTCTGAAAATCGTATGTCAAGACGCATTGTACTGTCCAATATGAGAATGCAGTTTTCCTTTGAAGGACCTGAGAAAGTCCATAGCTCTTACTTTGAAGGAAAACAAGTTTCTGTTACAAATGATGGGTCAAAGCTGGGATCACTGGTGCAGTCTGAATGTGGTGACCTTGGAGAGTCAGCTACAATGAAGTCTCCAGCAGCATCTACAGATTTTGCTGATGCTATAACAGAACTGGAGGATGCTTTTTCCAGGCAAGTGAAATCCCTCGCAGAGTCCATTGATGATGCACTGAATTGCCGTAGTCTCCATTCTGATGAAGTCCAAACTCCGGATCAAGTCAGAAGTCGTGAAATGGAAAGGGATAGTTGTGCTCCAACTAAACCAGCAATTCACAATGTGGATCCCAGGAAGCTTGATGAGATGACAGCGTCATACAGCGATGTCACGTTATATATTGATGAGGAGGAGTTATCTCCACCCCTTCCCCTTTCCCAGTCAGTAGACAGACCATCCAGCACAGAATCTGATTTGAGGCTTCGGTCTGTGAACTCCTCTCAAGAGTACTGGTCCATGACCCACAAAGATGATAAGATAGACACTGATACGAGCTGCAGGAGTACCCCATCACTGGAATGCCAGGAACAGAGGATGAGAATGGATCACCTACCGTTGCTAACTATAGAGCCTCCCAGTGACAGTTCAGTGGACTTGAGTGATCGCTCGGAGAGGGGTTCGTTAAAGAGACAAAATGCGTATGACCGAGGGATCACTAGTCAACAAGGAAGCCCAAAACACATCCCTCACAGTATTCCTGCCAAGATTATATCCCGAGAGGAGCAGGAGGCTAGACATAGGGCCAGGCCTATAGATAGTCATTTAGCTATCAATGGCACAGCAAACAGGCAAAGCAAATCAGAGTCTGATTATTCGGACGGAGACAATGACAGCATCAACAGCACTTCCAACTCTAATGATACGATAAATTGCAGCTCAGAATCTTCTTCTAGAGACAGCCTGAGGGAGCAAACCCTGAGCAAACAAACATACCACAAGGAAACTCGCAACAGTTGGGATTCCCCTGCCTTCAGTAATGATGTTATCAGGAAACGCCATTATAGGATTGGACTGAATCTTTTCAACAAGTAAGTACAGTGTTTCCTCCTTTTCTCTGAGTTTGGTAGAAACATAGGCACTGAACCAGGAATATTTTTCTTGTATCAGGTATTAAGACTGGTGTCTGATACTGACTTTTCAGTGAAAAAAAAGCCCCTCAAGGTGACTGTTGATGTTAGAATACATACAAGTTGATGTCTTCATAGTTAAACAGCTTCAGGGGAAACAAACAAAAAAATAATGTGTATATGTATGGTAGTAAACTCTTGAAGAGGGTGGATCAGATTCCTTTCTTGTTGAAAAATATGGTGGCTTAATCCTGATCCTTTTTAGTATAACAGATTCCGATTTCTTCCTGCCCTAATCATGTAGGGATTGTAAAACATGTCATATGGGAATTAGAAATAACAAGCGTGTAAGATGAATTTTCTGTTTAACGCAGGTAGGGCCCAATTTTTTTTCAGTAGATTTCGTCAGAACTTTGATATGAAAAAATAATGCGCAGAATATTTTTATGCTAAATAAATATTCTTTATCATAAAATTATCATAAAAATTTTATTTCTGCCTGTGACTTAATTTTCCCATATGTGGAGTTGTTTAAATTTTTTATAAAATAACTTTCTCAAGTTTCCTTGGTTTATTGAAATAGTTTGTTCTTTGGACGCTCCTATGTGGCTGTAGAAAACCATGAATATTGTGGTAAAGGCTATCATTTAAGATACTGCTCTAAACTCTGTATTCACATTACTGGAGTCTCACAGATCTCATTAGAGCTATAATAATCTGAAGATAAGAACAGCTGGGTGGTTGGCATTAAAATTCCTAGTTTTTCTCACTGCTTAGTTGATGCCTAGTGTGCCAGTTTTCCTGCCCTAGAACGAGCATAGTTTACTTACAAAGCTCCTCAGAACACTGAGATGAAACATGCTAAGTGCCAGAATTTTTTTTCTTTAAAATACCATTGGCAGCTCACAGTGTTTGTATAAGTTTTTTGAAGTTTTCTAGAGTACTAGAGGATTTCTCTATGAATATGTTCTAGCTTCTGAAGAGCTCATAGATTTCGACCTCGCTTCAGTGTCTCCTACAGCTTGAATGAGTTCAGCCCTCCGTTTCATTAGCAGCGCTGTGATTTGTTTTGTTTGGATTAATAGGTCAGTGGTTCATCATATAATAATACGCTGTAACACTGCAAATGATTAAAGCTTTTTGATGCCATCACCTGAGGCTGTGCACTACAATACCGTGCATGGATCAGCCAGGTTTGGCTGTAAAAACTTTCAGGTTTGGTTTTTTTATCTTTTTACAAAGTTAATAAGCCTATACAGAAGCTTTTAGTAAGTTGGCAGTCATTCAGTCATGGGACCTGGACAGCTTTTAGTGCTTATGAAGTAAACTTGAGTAGGAAGATACATCAGTTGGCTTTTTTTTAGAAGATTGGAAAACATTAACATCCTTGGGGTAGGGAGGAAGGTGCTGGTATTGTGTGTCTGACATTTAAAAGACTTGGTGTTTGCTTGGTTTTTTGCACAGTAATTAAGCCTTAAACAGTCAATGATCAGTGAACTTCAGGCTTGATAATACAGTGTTTTGAGTCAATTGCAGAAGGGTGTAAGAAAAAAAGGTGAATGGAGAAAGTGCTCAAGCAGAATGCAGTGCGGCATGAGAGCATGGGAAATTGCCATACCATGTGGGTAGGAGGGTGCGAGTGGAAAGAACATCAGGAATAGAGAAGAATAGAGGCTGTTCTTTGAAACACATCTAGGCGAACTTGCTGCATGGACTTGAACAGAGATAAACCTTTTTTATATATTGGCTGGTTGTAAGATGACTTGCAGTTTCTTAGCAGCGAGTTCTTTAGATAGCACTGCGCAGAACTCCGGGCAGCTCCTCTGCATGATCTTTTGCTGTGTGCGATGGTTTCATACCTCCACTTCATTTGATCTCCAGTATCGTTACATAACTGAATATTCTCATTACCTTCTGCCAAGTAACTGATCCTATTGATAGCTCAGTCCCCGAGTATCCCATGTGTCTAGGTTTTGATTATGGCTTATCAGGTCCACAGATTGTGACATCTCATTAATAGCCTTATTTCCCCTCTGTGCAGTGTCAGGTATCGAGCCATCATAGAATGTGCTGGTGCATGAATCTGTAAACTCTTTTGAAAAGGCAGCTGGGAAACTTCCAAAGCTTAATTCTTTAGAAAGTTCAGGGGGAGACTGAAGAGTATACCAGTGGGATTGCCAGTTGCCTTTTGTGAGGTAAATGAAGGGATAGAGGATGTGTTCGGTATCTGTCAGGATTTACAGGTGATCATTTCTTGAAGATGATGAATCGTTTTTCCTTTTAAATATCTGCTGTACAGGCACATTAGTTTAACTTCTGAGCTCTATGCACACTGTTCTCAGCACATGTATGTTAGAGCATCTTGTGTGCCCAAATGCCTTTTGAAAAGCAAGCCACAACCTAGAATGCCAGTTTACTTGGTGAAGGCTGCTATTTCACACGCAGAACAGTCTAAGAGAGGATTGCCCAGCCTAGTGAGACATGGGCCAGGAAGAGGGTCTGCAGGTCACATGGACTTTGTACTAGTTAGTCCTGGCTTCACAGTCTCTCTCTCAGACATGGTAAAAATGCAACTGCCCAGCATCTGCTACGAGCCAGGGTATGCTATGTACTCAGTACCATGTAGCAACTGCTGTGCTTCATATCAGAAGCACATGGCCAGATGTACTCCCATAATCACAGAATCATTGAGTGTTTTGGGTTGGAAGGGACCTTAAAGATCATAGAATCATAGAATGGTTTGGGTGGGAAAGGCCCTTAAAGATCATCCAGTTCCACCCCCCCTGCCATGGGCAGGGACACCTTCCACTAGACCAGGTTGCTCCAAGCCTCATCCAGCCTGGCCTTGGACACTTCCAGGGATGGGGCATCCACAGCTTCTCTGGGCAACCTGTTCCAGTGCCTCCCCACCCTCTCCGGGAAGAATTTCTTCCTGATATCCAATCTAAACCTCCCCGCTTTCAATTTAAACCTGTTACCCCTTGTCCTGTCACTACAGGCACTTGCAAAAGTCCTCTCCCAGCTTCCTTGTAGCCCCTTCAGGTACTGGAAGGTGCTATAAGGTCTCCCTGGAGCCTTCTCTTCTCCAGGCTGAACAAGCCCAACTCTCTCAGCCTGTCCCCATGGCAGAGGGGCTCCAGCCCTCTGAGCATCTTCGTGGCCTCCTATGGACTCGCTCCGACTGGCCTATATCCTTCTTATGTTGAGGACAATGTGACGGGATACATTTTTTTAGTCTGCTCTCCAGTTTCAGATCAATGCAGCAGAATCATTTAGATGTCTCTAGACCCCGTGATCATTCGTGACACGTTTATGATCATAAAATGAGGGAGTAGCACAAGTCTTGGCAGTGAGCATCTGAGAGGATGTGTGCTTCACCCATGTGGAAGGACTGTGCAGAACTGAAAGAAGCGGCTTTGAAGTTACCTATCACAAGAAGCCAGTTGTTTTCCAAATGTCTGCATCTACTAGAGGAAATTTTAGGGATGTCTTTTACAAGAAGTTCATTGCATCTTTGAAATCTTCCTTGCAAATTAAGATCCCAAACTTTAATTAACAAATAATCATGCTATTTCTTTCTGATACGTGAAGCTTGGCTGAAATGTGGAGTTTAGAACGTCAAAGTAGTGCATGAATTGTAGTAAATACTTGTGCTTTGTGCACTAGGAGTGTTGAAAGAATGAAGTTTCAAAAAGCATGGTAAGGCACTACCCTCACAGTTAAAATTTCAACAGATGCTTTACCATTTTTCTGGCTTTCCTATATTACAGTAATAATTTTCAGAAGCCAAAATGCAGTTTTGTTACCAGAGGCCCTTTATTAGAATAGCTGATTATGGGCAGAGTAAAAGTTGAGCACAACTGATGGTCTAGTTCACTTAATCACCATTATATACAAAAGCCCCCATTTTTTCTAGGAGTTCTATCGCAGTTGTTTCAAACTATAACTTTGCATTTGATTTTGAGCCTTAGTGTTGATTAAAGAAATACACTTTTTTAAAAGTTATTTTGTGGTTTCCACTATACTAGAACATACAGTATCACCCAAATAGAAGGATTTCTGCCAAAGAAATTGCAACTGAGCTTCTGTACATTCTCCTGGTGTTGAATGGCAGTAGTGATTTCACCCTGTCAATAGGCTGTCAGATGGTGGGTTCCCATTCACTGCCTTCCGAAAGGGAGGCTTGCAGGTGCGTGCCCAGAGAGCAGGGGCTCCCAGGGAGGCTTGCTGAGGCCAGCTGTGTTGAATTAGGCATTTTCTTCAGTGTGCTTTGAAAAGGATGTAGTCTGGGAGAAATTACACTGGAAACCATTCCTCCCTTCTAGGCAGAAGGAAAACACTACCTAGAAAGGTTTATTTTGCAGGCTCCAAACCCTGCCAATGCAAATCCAGCCTTTGAGACTGGTTTGCTTGTAAACAAGGCTTCAAGAGGGCTTTTGACTGCTGCTTTTTTAAAAAAAAATGGAACAGAAAAAAAGTAAAAAGGGCTGTGATCTTATTTTCATGTTTGTTTTGACTGCAAGCTGGAAATACCAGGTTTACCAGTTATTGCAGCCCAATCTGGTAGGATTTTCAGGTTCCACTCTGCTACCAGTGCACTGATGGTTCTAACAGATTAAATAGGACCGGATGGTTTTTAACCTGAGTCGTCTGAGGAAACATGTCCTGCCCTCGGGTCAACTTTGCAGTCGGTAGCAGCAGACTAATTCTGTGCTGAGCTGTGAGTCTGTAGGGAGAAGTATATCGCCACATTCCCTTCTCTTGTACCACCATGGTGGTGGCTGTAACTCTGGCTCCTTGCCAAGCATTTGTGGCTACCAGGTACTTTTCGTTAACGCTGCCCTCAATTACTGTCTCCTCAGACTGCAGTGTCACACCCAGCTGGGCCATGCCAAATAGTGCATGGTGTAGGGATTATTCTGTCTTCTCTTGGGTTGGGGGTACCAACACTTTCTGCATTAATAA